GGTGCTATTGTTTTCCATGACTTGGTGAGTGCCTAAACGTTGTTACCTCAGCACTGCAAGTAGCTCCAAGTGGAGCATTTAGGAATCCTGTTTATTGGGATTGTGTTTTAGCAACGGATGAAATAAGTGTTTGTACATAATCAAGCTGGAAAATCATCTTGTGCAGACTCTGAAAATAGGATTTTGTTTTGTCTGGGAGCACATGGTGGAAAGGTAGGATGAGAGTGAGGAGCTGGGCCAGGCACAAGTTCTGCAACACAACTGCTTAATGGCTTCAAACAGACCAAGAGGAGCTTTAGGTTGGATATTGGGAAGAAATTCCTCCCTATGAGATGCTGGGGCACTGGAATGGATTTCCCATAGCAGCTGTGGCTGCTCCATCCCTGGGAATGTTCCAGGCCAGGTTGGATGGGGCTTGGAGCAACCTGTCCTAGTAGAAGGTGTCTCTGCCCAGGACAGGGGATGGGATGAGACCCTGAAAGTCCTACCAACCCAACCCATTCTGGGATTCCATAATTCTCTGATTCCCAAGCTCTTCCATCAATGTATGGAATTGCAATGCAAGTTTTCGAATCTTTAGTGCTAGTTCAAAGAAAGGACAAATCTGCTCTGTGAGTCTGTGGTGAACGAGAAAAAAAGGAATGGGCTTCAATGTCATCCCTCAGAAACCTGTTCTCAGTGGGAATACCACATCAGATGCTGCCTGGGGTGGCTGTGGATTCCTCCTCACCGGAGGCATTTAAGGACAGGGTCCGGAAACCTTTGTGCAGAGCCACTGATCCTGCACTGGGAGGAAGAGGAGGAGACGATTTTTGAAAGTCATTGATTTTTAAGGGCTTGGAATGAACCTTAGAGATGATACAGCCCCAACCCCTGCCCTGGGCAGGGACACCTCCCACCAGAGCAGGTTGCTCAAGGCTTCATCCAACTTGGAATGAACTTTGCCAGGGTTGGGGCAGCCACAGCCTCCCTGGGCAACCTGTGCCAGTGTCTCACCACCCTCACAGGGAAAATGTCTGCCTGATATCTAACCTAAATTTCCCTCTTCCAGTCTATATCCATCTTTCCTTCTTTCTTTTATATCATTTGCTTTCTCCCCCCTACATCCCTAGGAAGTCTTTGCAAACCCCTTCCCATCCCATCTCTCAGGGTGTAGATGTTTTCCACTTATTTTTAGAACTTGACCTTACAAGACTGACAAATAACTTTTTCCTTCCTCTGACTTTTGTCCTTCACTTGGCAAAGAGATGTTCAAAACACAGAGATGGAAAATATTTAAACTTTAAACTAGCAGGAGCTTTTTCTTTTTTTGTTGTTTGTTTGTGATGTCAACTCCAGGCAGGGAAAAAGGTGTAACTGCCCAAAGTCCAAAACACTTCCCTACTGAAGCCCAAACAAACACTATCTGCTCTTCACTTTAGTTTTTCAATCACTAAAGCTTCAAACCAGTATTGACCAACTTGGAAGATGTTTCCCCATCGGATAACAACAAGGTCAGATCTATCACCTCCTTGGGAATTTGTCCCTTTGAAAGAGGCACAGGAAGAACCAAGCCATGGCCAAACACTCTGTGATGTGCTGCTGTGTCAGGGAGTGATTTACAGGGATTTCCAGCCCTCACATCTCCATTAAGAAAGGTTTAAAAACGAAGCCAAGAAAAATACAGGTAGGAATGAGCTCATCCTGTGGAGCCACCGTGTCTTGCTCAACTCAGTCAGCTCTGTAGGAACCAACAGCATCTCACTCTGTGCAGTTGCTTGGCTGCTGCCAGTGAGCAGAATTGATCCCAGGAACTGCTGAGCCTGAAGAGAAATGGCTTTGGGTTTCCAGGAGGATGGAAAGACATTGATCACTGTCTTGATATGCAGAAGATTTCAGTGTGAGATTTGAAGTGCAAGGTCCTACATCTGGGCCATGGTGATCCCAGGCACAGCTCCAGGTTGGGTGGGGAAGGAATCGAGAGCAGCAGTGAGGAGAAAGACTTGGAGTGACAGTGGATGAGAAGCTCCCCATGAGCTGCAGTGTGAGCTCAGCCCAGAAAGCCAATGGAATCCTGGGCTGCATCCACAGGAGTGTGGGCAGCAGGGCAAGGGAGGTGATTCTTCCCCTCTACTCTGCTCTGGTGAGACCCACCTGGAATACTGCTCACAGTTCTGGTGTCCTCAACAGCAGAAGGACATGGAACTGTTGGAGCAAGTCCAAGGCCTGGATGAGCTTTAAAGTCCTTCCAACACAAACCATTCCATGATTCCATGATTCCATCATCCCATGGCTCCTTCTTTGTTCCTTTGCATTCCCTTTCTGCAGGGAAGGATTTTCATTCTCTCCTCATTCCACACAGACACATTTCTCCACACAAAGCAAATCTGACGTCAGTTGTTTCCAGGTGACCTCACAAGTGACCCTTATCCACATCTCATTCCATGGCAGTTACATCTCCTTCTTTCTGGAGTTTTATGCCTTCTCCCCACTTGAAAAAAAAACCAACAACCTAGATTATTCCTGAATAGTTGGCAAGAACTTTCCTTTATTAATGACCCATCAGAGAAGTAATGTGCTTTTCCCTCAGACTCTCCACTGCCATATCAGGGAGTGCTGAGATCCCTTGCAGGGTCCTGGAGGGAGAGTCTGGATGCCTCTGGTTCCTCTTGACAACAGCATCTCCCAACACAAGCTGGATGAAGATCAGCTATTGCTGCTCAGGGTGAAAGACTTGGTCTCTGAGGGCTGTGTGACAGAGCATTTGTCACTCACGGCCCATTTTTTGCTGGAAATTACACATTACAAATGAGACTTCCCACAACATCACTGGGAAAATGATATCTCTTATCTCCAGTAAGAATTTGACATTTGGATTCGGCCAGAAGGGCCCAGAGAGGCTAAAACCTGGGAAAAATTCATTGTTCTGAGCTGCAGCTGAGCCCCTTGAGCTCATCACGAGTCTCACAGTTGATTTACCTGTGGGTTGACAGCACAAATTGGAGCAGGAGGTGGAAGAACCTGAGAAATGTCACCTGGGGAACACATGCCAAGGAATTTCTTTCCAGGGTAAATCTGCTTGGGGTGAGAAAGTGTAGAATGTGTGTCCTGCAGCATCACTGTGCTCCAAAGTCCAGAGGAGGCCACGAAGGTGCTAAGAGCACTGGAGCATCTCCCCTATGAGGACAGGCTGAGGGGGTTGGGGCTGTTCAGCCTGGAGAAGAGAAGGTTGTGTGGAGACCTCAGAGCAACTTTTCAA